AGAAGTGGGGTGTGTGTCTGTATGTGTGTGTGTGTGCAGGTGGGGAAGGGTCACCTGGAAAGGCGGAGGGGAGGGGAGCTTTCCCGTAAATCCAGGGAAGTGGAGAAGTGGTGTGTGTGTGTGTGTCTGTGTGTGTGTGTGTGCGCAGGTGGGGAAGGGTCACCTGGAAAGGCAGAGGAGAGGGGAGCGGCGCTTTCCCGTAAATCCGGGGAAGTGGAGAAGTGGGGTGCGTGTGTGTGTTTGTGTATGCGTGCAGGTGGGGAAGGGTCACCTGGAAAGGCGGAGGGGAGAGGAGCGGCGCTTTCCCGTAAATCCAGAGAAGTGGGGTGTGTGTGTCTGTCTCTGTGTGTGTGCAGGTGGGGAGGGGTCACCTGGAAAGGCGGAGGAGGGGGCGGGATCCCGGACCTCCTCCCCCCCCCCCCAATAATACCGGGCAGGAAGCCAGGCTAAGCCCGCGGACTCCCCCTGCCAGATGTGCGCTGCAAAACTGCGGGCGACTTGGCGGAGCGCAGCCAAAGGATGGGCGTTATTCCCTCTCTTTGCTGCCCCCTCATGGTGGTCTGAGGTACGGCAGCCCTGAAGGCGCGATCGAGACGCGGTGGCTTTCGATTCCTCCCGATCGCGGGCTGGACCCGGGGAGGGACGGAGGGGGGGGGAGGGACCAGCGGGCAAAAGAGGAAGCAGCGTCGCAGCAGCTGGAGCGGGAGGGCCTTTGAACCCCTAAAAACCCCTAAGACAGTGTTTCTCAACCTTGACAATTTTAAGGCATTGTGGACTTCAACTCCCAGAATTCCACAGCCAGCATTGCTGGCTGTGGAATTCTGGGAGTTGAAGTCCACATGCCTTAAAATTGTCAAGGTTGAGAAACACTGCCCTAAGACCACCCCCACCCACACAGACAGGCAAGACACCAGAATATAAACTGACAGCAAACACCGCTCCTTACTTTTTTTTTTTATTTTAAGCTGGTTAACTATTTTATTTTATTTTTTAAATATGTTTTATTCATTTTTTAACATAATCCCCTTAATATTCGGTAAACTGTGTGTTGTCTGGGTTTACATTTAAGAAACATTCACTAACCGTTGATTTCTATAATCCACGTAATAACTTTACTTGATTTCCTCTTTTTCCCATAATGTTCTCTTTTACCAACCTTAAGTTAATACAATTCTCGTTGCTTTAATGAATGATGATTGAGTATAAAAGTCTTTTAATAGTTCTACAGATAATAATCACATCAATATAATATTCCTTTTCTATCTAGTCATTCTGGTTGTCTCATCATAGATCCTGTTTACAGTTCTTGTTTACATTTGTTTTTCCCACAATGTTCAAAACATTCTTACTGGTTAAGATTTTCTCAAAGTTAATTACATTTAAATATTTAAGTCTATTTTTTCTCATGTAAGCCAACCCAATGCTTTTACCTTTCTTAAGGAATAAATAAGAATAAAAAAAAAGAAAAAAGAATAAGAATTAAAAAAATAAAAAGATAGTATGCTACTTAAAATCCCTATTTCCTGTAAGCTGATTCATTTATTTCCAAGAAAAAATCGTTCTTTTTAACCATAATTAAAAATATATTTAATCTTTAAATATTCCATTCAATAAATCTAGTCCTCTAGTCTTTTAACTCTTATTCAAAACATTTTAATCCATTGTAATTTTCTTAAAGTCAATCACCTTTAGATATCTAAAACATTTCCTTTATATAAGCCATTCCAACTTTTATATTACTCATATCAAGAAATAAAAGAAAAAGAAAAAGAAAGTACTATGTTACTTGAGGGGCTCTTCCCTCTTAAAGTCAAATTCACATCCAAACTTTTTCTATTTCTTTAACCATATTTGAACAGGTGTTTCTTTTTTTAAATATTCTCTCTGATAGGCTCCATGTCTATTTTCTTAATTTTCACTTTAGCCTTTTTCTTTTGCCCAGCATCTTTCTTAATATGTTCTGCTGAGTCAAAGAATCTTTCCATATTCTTGTATGTGTTACTGTAGATATAAAAGGTAAGTCAAGTACAATATCTTTGTGAGAGGCGTTTGCCCATGCATTTTTGTTGAAAATCTTTTTCTCTCTGCTTCTCTTATCATTTTTTGTCTCTCCAGTTCTAGTGTTTTTCCTGGCATCTCTGCACTCCATTTTGTCCAATCTTTTTTCTTATCCTCAAATTTGTTTTGTGGTGTTAAAGTATAAGTTGTCTTTTCCAAATCCAGTATTTCTTGTAAATTTTTTCCCACTTGTTAGGTTCCATCTTTAAGTCTCTATCCTCAAAATTTGTATTCAGTTGTCTGTTTTATCTGTTTCTTCTCTGTTGTTGTTTCCTGAGATTTTTTTTTTTGTTGTAAAGTTAAATTGGAGATGAATTGGTTTATATTTTCAAAGTTATTTTGGATTTCTTTGTGGCTTGAAATCATTGTTATTTGAATTAGTTGCAACATATCATATGTCTCCTCTTGAAAAGTATTTTTTTCTTGATAGGTTCTTTCTATAAATCTCTGATTTTCCGTGAAAACAGCACTCCTTACTTACTAGCACTGCTGATGTTACCTATGTGGGAGATGAAGATATAGCCCCCTCCTCATATAATAAGATGAGGCTGGAGCAAACCTGAGATAGGCCCCACAGTAGTGATTTAAAGCTTTAATTTGAACTTTATGTTGTTTCACAATACGGACGTATTATTTATAATCTGCTGAGCTTTGTGCAATATAAAATTGCAAAGTAGGTTGTTTTATATATTTATTTGGAACATGAGTATTGTAACCATGGGAAAAGAGGAAGTGAAAGTAGCAGACGGATAGAGGTTTCAGATGTACACGGGTGTAGGTGGAAACTGCAGGTCAGCACAAAAGAACAAGGAACTGCTTTTGCAAACTAATGATTATGTGTGGATGGTCGTTAGAAGAAAGGTATAAAAATGTTGGTTTAAGTCTGGCTCGGGGCTATTGGTCTATAGCTGTCCTTTGGAATATGCTATGCCAGTGATGGCGAACCTTTTAGAGACCGAGTGCCCAAACTGCAACCCAAAACCCAGTTATTTATCGCCGGGTGCCAGGTGGGCGTGGCCCACTAGATGGGCGTGGCTGTGGTGGTCATGGCAGATTGGGTGGGTGATGCCTGTGGGGGGTGGGCAGGGTTGGGGGAGATCCAGGGGGTCTCTGGTAGGTGGGGCGGTAGGCAGGAGGCTCGTCCTGCGGGGTGAGGCACGGCAGGGTGGGGGTGCCATTGCCATGGGGCAAGGCAAGGGGCAGCTACTGCCTGACACCATCGCCCCCGCACACAGAGGCCAGCGAGCGCATGGGGGCCGACGGTGTCCGTCAGCAGCCACAGCCTGCCGGCCTCTTGACTGGCGCGCTCTGCAGCCCGCCGCCAGCAGTTCAAAGAAGCTGCCTCTGAGCTGGACAGCCGGCCAACAGCTGAGGAGGCGATGCAGTGGGTCGTGCCCGGGAAAAGGAGAGCATGCAAAGCCAGGAGGGACAGGATGGGAGGGAGGGAAAACAGCCGTGCCGGGATGCATCCGGCCACGTGGGACTTCGGCTAGTTAGCAAGCGGCTGGTTGAAGAGGGACAGTTGCCATCTCCGGGGCATGGCGTGCGTGCCGACAGAGAGGGCTCTGAGTGCCGCCTCTGGCACGCATGCCATAGGTTTGCCACCACTGTGCTATGCCATATGGTCCTCATTCCAATGGGTTGTTAATGTAAGTGATGCTGTTACTATGCTATGTTCCAAATTATTAGCAAAATAAATCTCTGAATCTTAAAGTAAGAATTATTGTTTTGTGTTGCTGTCTGTTGTCTTTTTCATAGGGTTTGAACACCTAGGAGCCCTTTGAACCATTCTCAAGGAAGAACTTCTTTTAAACTCCACCTACTGGGATCCCTCTGCTTCCCCCCCTCCCAATTGCCCAGTGGCTTTTGATGGAAGTGTGTTGCCAGGTCTTGACTCCGACCTGAAAGCCAGTAAGGAACAGGCAGAAATCCCAAGGGTTGAGCAATGGATTTTCCTCTCCTTGGCAGCTTGACACTTGTGATTATAATAATAATAAAGTTGGAAGGGATCTTGGAGGTCATCTAGTCCAACCCTCTGCTCAGGCAGGAGACCTTATACCATTTCAGACAAATGGCTGTCCAGTCTCTTCTTAAAAACTTCCAGTGTTGGAGCATTCACCGCTTCTGGAGGCACGTTGTTCCACTGATTAATTGTTCTAACTGTCAGGAAGTTTCTCCTTAGTTCTAGGTTGCTTCTCTCCTTGGTTAGTTTCCATCCGTTGCTTCTTGTCCTGCCTTCAGGCGCTTTGGAGAAGAGCTTGACTCCCTCTTCTTTGGGGCAGCCCCTGAGATACTGGAACACTGCTATCCTGTCCCCCCTCGTCCTTCTCTTCATTAAACTAGACATACCCAATTCCAGCAACCGTTCCTTATATGCTTTAGCCTCCAGTCCCCTGATCATCTTTGTTTCCAGAAGTCCTGCGCAGGGCGATGATATAGTAGTGGGAAAGCAGAGATGAGGCCGGAGAAAGGATTTCATTACGTCAGTGTGTCTCAACTTTTAAGATTTGTGGACTTCAACTCCCAGAATTTCCCCAGCTGGAGTGGAATGCCCTAACAGAGTGTTTCTCATGCTGGCTGCGGAATTCTGGGAGTTGAAGTCCACCCATCATCAAATTGGCAAAGTTGAGAGATACTACAATACATGGTTGCATATGGTTGTGTGAAGGAGATTCAGCCTGGGTTCTCACCAAAAGACTCCTGCCTGGGCCATACTCACCTCCTCTCTTTTATTCCTGCAGCTCAGCCATGGCCAGCTACCCCTATTTAGATGAAGCAGAATTGAGGAACCGCAAAGTTCAATATCTGGCCCAGAAATCCATCGCAGCTGCCTCTCAAATCCAGGAACTGCTGGATTTTTTGAACTCCTTCAAGGTCCAGGTTGGGATCCTAGGAGAGCACCGTGCAGGGGTCAGCATGCTGGTTGAGGCTCTACTGAGCAAGTCTCGCCCAGTGACAAACCTTGCTGCTTACTTCCAGAAAGCCCCACAGCCCTCACTCTCTGCAGAGGTCCACATTCATCCCACCTTCCCTCACCTCATCTTGCATGAACTACCTGGCTTTGACGCCACCGAGACACCGTCTGCCTATCTGAAGAAGCTGGGTGACCTACAGCGATTCAACTGCTTCGTGATGGTGGTAGGAGCCACGGGCTTGAGAGACGTGCATCTCCAAGTCCTTAAGGCCATCAAGCAAAAGAAGAAACCTTTCTTCGTGGTCCACACCAAGATTGACCTGGATCTGCACACAGCTAGAAGGCGCCTTCAATACAGATACAATCCTGCAGAGCAGCTGAACCGGATCCGGAAGGAGTTGTCTGAGACGTTGACCAAGGATGGCTTGGAGGCCCGGAAGATTTTCCTGGTGTCTGGGCTGCAGTCTGAGAGATACGATTTCGCTTGCTTCGAGGATACGTTGGAAGGAGAAGTGCTCAACCTGAAAAGGTAAAGAGGTCAAGGGTTAGATCAGAACATTTTGACTTTTCTTCCAGGGCTGGAAAAGGTGTCCAACTCTTGCATATCCCTACAATGCCGTTCTGCCCTTTTACATTAGCCTGTTGAGCTAATGTCCTTTCTTCCTTAGTTGTTTTCTATATGGAAGTCAACGAAACATGCTAAAATAGAATATTATCAAAGAAAGTAGAAACAGTTCTTAAAATGTGGTTGCTAAGTGGGAAATCATGTGACCGTGACTGTTTTCCTTTTCCCTGGTCCCTTGCCTTTCGGAATGCTTATCCTGGTGCTGGGATAATTAGGGATTACAAGAGAGTAAGCAGACACACAGTGAGACATACATATCGAAAGGAATGCAGTGGTGCCAGCAGCCCAAACATACTCGGGACTGGAAGCCACAAGCCCGCTACACAATCATATTCTCCATTTTGCATTTGCTTAGTCTCTTATAATCCCTTTCTCTTCAAACTTCCTGCTCTGCAAGGGGGGGGGGAGAAACAGGTCAAGCATAGAACAACACGTACTTTTAAAGGCGATCACATGACTAAGGGGCACTGCAAAGGCATTGATCATAAAGCTATTTTTCACCACCGTTGTAGCTTCCAATTGTTGCTGTTTGAAACTGTCGAAAGCAAGGTCTGTCTTTACACGGCAATTTAAAACATTCCAACAAAATCTTTCAGATTATTTATATTTATTTATTTATCATATTTCTAAAACCACTCCTCTCCCTCAAAGAGGGGCTCTGGGTGGTGTATAAAACAATGTTAAAATTAAAAAATAGGTTTTAAAAAATGAAAATTATAGAATGGCAATTAAACATCAAAAGGGGAGAAAAATCCTACGATAGCATGGACATTATTGGACATGCCCAGTGTAGTCTGAGAAAGTCAGTGTTGAGTGCTTGATGCATCCTGACTGTAATCTTATCTCTAACTGCAGCTAATGACTATAGGACAGGGGTGTCAAACTCAATTTCACTGAGGGCTGCATCAGCATTGCGGTTGCCCGGGGGGGGGGGTATATGTGGCCAGAATGGGTGCAGCCTACTGGGTTGGCGTGGATAGAGTGGGTGTGGCCTACTGGGTGGGCGCGCCAGCTCTACATCGTTTGCGTCAAGGGTGCCTGTGGGGGCCTGGGTAGGAGTGGGACAGATCTGAGGGTCTCTGGCAGAAGAGGGTGGGACCGGGGCAAGTGCCAAGGCATGGTTCACTAGGGCAAGTGCCAAAATGGCCACCACAAAATTGTACATTGGCTCCCGGCCGGCCAGGGCCAAGACAGCGGGGTCCGTTCCCTCACTGTTTCCAGGATGGCTTTGCGGGCCGCATCCGGCCCCCCAGGCCTTGTGTTTGACATGTCTGCTATAGGAAGACAATGTATATATTTACAGTATATTTCTGTTCTTTCTAGGCACCATGAGGGAAATCTGAAGGACTTCCCTGCAGTAAGTCAAAAGATGGTCAAGGAGCTACTTGATATTTGCAAGTTCAGGACCTTGGCTGAAGTCCCAACCATGATCCAGGGTTTGCTGGCCAATCCCACTCAGATCCAGCTGAATGTAGCTGTGATTGGAGAAACAGGCTCAGGAAACTCCTCTCTAATCAACGCGCTGAGAAGAGTAGGCTCTGAGGAGAAAGAGGCGGCCCCCACCGGAGTGGCAGAGACCACCAGGAGAGCCACAGTCTACCCATTCCCATTCGTCCCTAACATGTACCTTTGGGATGTACCAGGAGTGGGATTGATGGAGGATGACGTGAAGCTTCTGGATTTCAGCCACTACAGCGTCTTCCTGCTGGTGGCCTCGGAGCGTTACAAGCACATCCACAGCTGCTTGGCCAAAATTATTGCTTCAGAAGGGAAACAGTCGTTCTTTGTGAGGAACAAGATAGATGTCGACGTGGAGGCCCAAGCTGGAAACCAACCCAACTTGAAGGAGACACTTCAGGAACAGATCCGGAAGAGCTGCGTAGAAGCTCTGAAGAACGACGGCGTTGACTGTCCGGTCTTCTTGGTCTCCTCCTTCATGGCCGAAGCCTACGACCTCCCTCTCCTTCGGGAAGAACTCCAGAGACAGTCTTCTGAGTTGAAGAGGAAGGCCTTGAGGAGAGCGATCCCTACCGTCTTCTCCCAGCTGGTAAGGCTCAAGAGCAAAGTGCTGATGAGGGACATGTGGGGGAAGACCTTGCAAGTTGGCCTCTCCTCTGTGGACAATCTCAAGGAGACGGTGGTTGAGAAGCTGCTGGCCGTCATCACCAGCTTCTGCATCCACCTTGGTCTGGATGAAATATCTGTCAGGAACACAGCTCAGTGCACTGGCAAAGCAGCCCACCAGCTTCTGGTAGAGATCCAAAGCTGCTTTGCCCGGCCAATGCATCCCACCGACGTGCTCAACCTCATAGTTAAGCCTCCCTCGTGGAGCAGCTGGGCATGGCGCTACGTGCCCTACTGGGGCCAAGGAGGTAAAGTGGAGGACATGATCTCTGTGGAGAACATTTACAATCTGCTGCAACAAGCTGTAGTGGAACTGTCCGGCGATGCAGAGAGGCTGCTGCTAGCAGCCTTCTCGGAGGATTAGCGGTGGAGGGGAGATTGATGGGGAGGGGCGAGAGGCAGGGCTAGCAACCTCTTTGCCCCACCTTCAAAGCAGGGGAAAGAAAATAAGGGGAGGGTCCCTGCGAAAGGACACGATGAGGCAAGAGCAAAGATCGCTTGGTCTAGTGCGGGCGTAGGCCATCTTGGCTCTTTTGTGACTCGTGGACTTCAACTCCCAGAATTGCTGAGCCAGCGTGGCTCAGCATGGAAACCTCTCCCCTTTTCCCTCAGCACGGCTGGCTCAGGAATTCTGGGAGTTGAAGTCCACGAGTCGTAAAAGGGCCCAGGTTGCCCACCCCTGGTCTAGCGTCCTGTGGTGGGGGTGATGGGTGTTTTTTGGAAGGATCCAGCAACCAAAAATGGAGGCTTACTGAGTAAAAGATTTGGCTGTAGAAACTTAATAGAAAGCTTACCCCTTTGCAGTGCTGATACACCCTTACACTACAGTGTCTTTCAATGTTGGCAACTTTTAAGATGTGTGGACTTCGACTCCCAGGATTCCCCAGCCAGCATGGCTGGCTGGGGAATCCTGGGAGTTGAAGTCCACACATCTTAAAAGTTGGTAAGATTTGAGAAATACTGTTTAAATGTTGATACAAAGCCGTTCCTGTTACAAAGAAATCAAATGCTTGCTTACTTGCTAGGATCTTGGTTCCTGGCTTACAGTACTGCTCTTATATAGTGGAAACTATTGTATTTTTCTGCGGGGGGGAAAAAGAGAAAATATATCTCATCGTAGGACAGGCTACACATGGCTTGGCTTGTTCAGAAAAGCACGCCCTATGCCTAAACCTCTGAATTCCCCAGATGTACACATGCTTAGAAAGCTGCTTTCTGCCCGGGACAATTCTATTTTGTAGATTGAAATAGTCATTGTTTGCATTTGTCTGTCCTGGAAGTAGGTCACGTTACACAGTTACTAAAAACACTGGTGAGTGGTAGGGATTGTCTGCTATTTGCTGCACACAACGCAAACTGCAGTGAAAAATTCTACACGTACAGTACATCTAGCCATGCCACAAGTTAATTGAAGCAGTTGCCTGTTTGTAATTTGCTGCACGACAAATTAAAATTTATTGTGCAATCTTGTTTTGCTCGTTCTTGTTTACAGTAGGCTACTCATTGGGTTTCTAAAATCTTCGCCCTCGGTCAGGCCTTGCCTAATTGTTTTTTTTTTAAATTGTTCATCTTGATTTGTTTTGCCAGGCAACGCAGCCCAAATTCCCCTGGCTTTTACAAAATATTTGCCCAGCATACTTGCAGCAAATTGTATTCACAGTGATGCAAAAGCTTTGTGGTTTTCTGTGACACTCAAACTACGGGGGGGGGGGGGGGGAATCTCATTTGGATGACAAAATAGTCTATTTGGTAATTGGCAACTACATCCAGTACCTGGGACAGAAATTAATACAGCAACTTAACCTATCCTCCTCCAAATTAGATGGGAAGTCAAGACTACTATTAGAAAAGATGTACAAATACAGGTTGTCCTCAAGTTATGATCATTCGCGTAGTTGCTGTTTGAAGTTACGACCGCACTGGAAAAAGCGACTTACATATAAGATTATTGCAGTTCCCCAAGGTCACATGATCACAATCTGGGGACCTGGCCACCAGCTCACACTTGCGACAATTGCAGCATCCGAAATCACACGATTGCCATCTGCAACTTTGCCAGCTGGCTGCCAACAAGGAGTTATTCTTTTTGCTTTATTTTCTTCTTACTCTCTTTTATATTTCATTATACAATAAAATATCAAAGGAAAAATAAAGTGCCAGGAAGCATTAACCTCCAAAGATACAGAAGTACATGTATAGATCACAATGCACTTGCAGAACGTGTAAATTGACATGCAAAAGGCCTTGACTCACAGCAACTTCAGCTTAAAAAAGATCTTTTGCTTAAAATTCTCTCCACCTTAAGTATCCAGAAAAAGGGCAGCCAGAAGAAATAATCCTGTACGGGACCAAACTTGACAATCCTTGGGTTTACTTCATTCTGAGCCAATCTCACACATTTAAAATCTAGATTCACTAACACCATTGCAAAAAAAAAAAAAAAACAATTTCAGGTTTGATCATTTTCAGGATCACAAGGACTACCCCACTATCTCAACACAGAAGCCACTTTAAATGACCTAAAAGGTAGCAAAGAAATGTAGTTGTGTAAGGATGGAGAGTGACACTTCCAGGGTCCCTTCATTTCATAACACAAGGTTACTTGCGCTGATGGGTTTCCTGAAAAGGTGTACAGGGTTTGGGGGGTTTTTTTGGTTCACATTTCTGATTGTTCTCTACAGCATGAATTTTTAACAATATTCTCACGAGTACAGAATTCAACAATACGTGTCTATATATCTCAGAAGGCTCACTCTAAGCCCTGGGTCTTCAATCTGTCGTACATACTTAAAAAATAATAATAATTAGAAATCTGCAGCAATTTTGCATCTTTAAAGACCCACAACTATATTGCTGGAACACTCAAGCTACAGGAGTGGCCAAAATTGTGGAAACCTTTTGGAAAAAGTGTACAGTAGAAATGCCACCTTTGGTTAAGTTTCCACCATTTTTTCTTCTAATTTCTTTATAACTGTAACCTTGTTCACTTAATACTACTATTTTACATCGCTTTCTGGGCGACCACTCAACTCTTTGCACCATGACTTTAATGTTATTACATTTTACAAGCTCACCAAATGAAAGAACACAAAAAACCCCAACCAACTCGATAACGATCACATAACACACCGACAAATGTCCTCCTCTCGGCTTCAATACAGGACATCAATAACTGGATCCTACTGTGATCTGATTGGCTCATTGCCAAAACAAGATGACACCTGATTGGCTCTCTAAACATTCACGCTCATTGGCTACAATCAGATGAAGGAAAGCTACCTGATATCAACCTAAGCAAGTTGTGCTTCCTTTTTCTGGTTATTTGGCTGTAACTTTTCACAGAATACAGTACAGATAATTGAACAAACTTTGTTGCATTACGTTCTTGATTAAATTATCTTTCCATTGGTATATAAATTTATGGTACTCCTCCAAAAAAAAGTGGTTATTGGCCATCAAACCTCAAAAACACTTTCCCCAAAAGGTTTCCACAATTTTGGCCACTACTGTATGTGCGCAAGCAACCTTCTACTTTGCAAAAAGTACTGCATTTTACTTAGCAGTAAGATACCGAGAATTCAGTAGACTGATATACCCTGTGACGAGGCTGTAACGTGATTTCAGTGTAACCTACATTTATTAGACATAAACTTCCTGAAATAGCTGACAACTGGGAAGCCGTTATCCCTATCGAATGATGGCGCTGATATTTGCAGTTGGCACTCAAAGGAGCTGAGTTCGGCGTTGGCATCTTGTGCCCTTCAGAGTGATCATTCTCCTTTGCTCTTCAGAGCAGCACAAATCGGCTCCCTTTACATTTTCTTAAATAAAAATAAGGGGGTAGCCTTGATGACGGGGGAGGGGGGGTGTTGTATAGATACCAGTTAGGACAGTGATGGCGAACCTTTTAGAGACCGAGTGCCCAAACTGCAACCCAAAACCCACTTATGCATCGTCGGGTGCGGCCCATTGGGTGGGTGTGGCTGCGGTGATTGATTGAACTAAAAAGTTCAATCAATTCCAACTTTGCAAGATCTTTTTTTTCCCCGCGAGAAGTTGAAATTGACTGATTGATTGAACCTTTTTTTTTTTTTTGCACATGGCGGTGGAGGCCTAAAGCGAAAAGGTTTTATAAAACCCAGCTGAAGGCCTAGGACTGGGGCGACGGCACGCGTGCCCACAGAAAGGGCTCTGAGTGCTACCTCTGGCACCCGTGCCATAGGTTCACCACCACTGAGTTAGGATGTGAAGACTGACAAGAGAATTAGGTGGAAGTATCTCCAACTAAGAACGTTGCCTTTTCTGTCCTTAGATTAGGGAAGAATTTCTCACCTTTAGCAACTCTTAAGGCGTGTGGATTTCAACTCCCAGAATTCCCCAGCCAGCTACAGATAGTCCTCAACTTACAACCATTCATTTAGTGATCATTTGAAGTTACAGCAGCATGGGGGGAAAAATGACCGTTTTTCACACTTACCACCCATGGTCACATGATCAAAATTCGGATGCTTGGCAACTGACTCATATTTATGATGGGCTGCCATGTCCTGGGGTCATGTGATCCCCTTTGGTGAACTTCTGACAAAGTCAACGGGGAGGCCAACTTCACTTAGCCACCCTTCTACTGGCTTA